CTCGGATCCTGCCTTTACCTTCTGATGCAAAACGGGCAAAAGAATTCACCCACATGGGAAGGAACCTTTTATCTTTATTACATCTCTTCTCTCCATTTGAAGGGGGGGGGAACACAATTGATTCCATTCCTTCCTCACTGGTGCTCCAAAGATGATCAGGTTTGATGTATTCACTGTTGACTTTCCTTATCTTGTGCAAATAGCGAATTGCACCTGCCCTCAACTGTTCGGGTTGGAAGTTTGATACCTTCTTTGTTTTCTGCTTGATATGTAAAAATTGTTCTACGATTCTCCCCCACCCCCTTCCACTCTCCAAAACACCGTGAGTCACACATTCAATGGCTAGATGCCACCTTAATTGTTTCTCAAGACTATTAATATCCAGAAACGATATTATTAATATCCAGAAACTTTGGGCTTACAATCAGCTTGAAGAAAACACAAGCCATGGGCCAGGGCATGGGCTCATCTCCCTCTATTACTATCTCCACGCAAGAATTGGAGGTTGTTCATGACTTTGTGTACCTTGGCTCAACCATCTCTGACACTCTATCCCTAGATGTCGAGCTGGATAAACGCATTGGGAAAGCAGCTACCATGTTCTCTAGACTCACAAAGAGAGTAGGGCTCAATAAGAAACTGCCGGCATACACCAAAATTCAGGTCTATAGAGCCTGTGTCCTGAGCACACTCCTGTCCTGCAGTGAGTCCTGGACCCTTTGTGCACGGCGGGAGAGGAAGCTGAACGCCTTCCATATGCGTTGCCTACGACGGATTTTTGGTATCACCAGGCAGGACAAAGTTCCAAATAGTCCTAGTCCTAGATCATGCTTGAATCTTTAGCATGTATACATTACTGAAACAGCGGCATCTATGTTGGCTCGGGCATGTCGTGAGAATGGCTGATGGTCGGATTCCAAAAGATCTCCTGTATGGAGAATTAGTGCAGGCAAATCACCTCAGAGGGAGACCTCAGCTGCGATACAAGGAGATCTGCAAGCAGGATCTGAAGGCCTTGGAAATGGATCTCAACAGATGGGAAACCCTGACATCTGAGTGTTCGGCCTGGAGACAGGCGGTGCATCATGGCCTCTCCCAATTGGAAGAGACCCTTGTCCAGCAGGCCGAGGCAAAGAGGCAGTCCCTAAATCAGCAAAGTCAGGGAGCTGGACAGGGGACAGACTGTATTTGTCTTCAGTGTGGAAGGGATGGTCACTCTCGAATTGGCCTTCTCAGCTACACTAGATGTTTTTCCAAGTCCTCCATACAGAGCACATCTCGAGACTGAAGGATGCCTAATCATCAATATCCAGAAGCAGGTATACTGTATATCATGTGCTTCAGGCCTCTGGAGTAAAATTTGGGGGTGGGGGGCTCGTCTAAAAGCCTTCAAAAATCCATTCTGTTCCGAAATCTTATCCTGGGGCCCTGTTGCTGATCCGTCTCTTCTCACCTTTTTTGGTTGTTGTTCATTTCCCCGGAGCATGAGTAAAAAATAAAACACATAAAATACAACCCATGACGGGCTTTATATGGCTTTTGCAGGAATGTATGGCCTTGACCACAGGCCTTGCTCTTTTAATTTAGTGGGCTGTGGATGTAGTACAAGTTAGCATCTCTCCTTCCAGCCCGATGGCACCACCTGCCCAGTGAATAACTCCTATATTTTGTGCTGCAGGCGTGGTAGCTATCCTTTCCCTTCTCTTAGTCCGTTGTCATTTGCAAGCTGGTGACGCCCCTCCTTAAGCTCTCAGCCAAACTAACAAAGCACACTTGGCTCGGGAACGTGAGCAAAGTGGAAAAAACCCATTGCAAAGTCTGAATATTTCCCCATGGAGGCGAAGCAGGATTGTGTTGGGAGGGATCTTTGGGGGAGGTTTTGTTCTCGTTCCCGTTTAAGATAACTGTGTAGGTCGGGCACCCGGGCAGCTGGCGGCAGGGAGATCCCATGATGCTTGTTCAGCAGACAAACATTCTGGCTTACGGGTGGCGAAGAACAAAGGCTGGCTTTGTGTGGAATCTGCTTTTATTAGCCCCGATGGTCAGCGCCCCTCGTACAGCACCCGGTGTCGAATGGCGAAACATTTTCCAAAAAAGGGACATGTTCCCAGCCCAGCAGTGACTGGCCAGGATGAGTCCTTCCCAGCAAGAGGGCTGTGGTAGCGGAGGACGATGGGAGGTGTAGTCTAGCACCTCTGGAGTCGAGATGAAAGGCTGCTCAAGACTCCCCCAATGGTTAGGTTCATTTAGTTTGGTTTTGGAAATCTGGGGCATGTTTTTTCCCCTGGGTTAAAAACAGAGGCAAAGTTTCCCCCAAGGCGCTGTGGGTCCAAAGGTTTCTCCCCCGTGCATGGGAAGAAGATGAGCCTCCTTGAAAAGACAGAGCAGATGTGCTGTGGATTCTGGGAGCTGTAGTCCCAACGAAGGAACCTCCCCAAGCTCGGTGGAAAAGCCCCTTCTTTCCACCCGTGAACTGGAACCTTTTGGGTACAGCCAGCCACCTTGTGGGTGCAGACTCACA